CCACACTGGGAGTAACAATGGTGAATGTGCCATTCGAGCATTTAGGAGCACTAATGAGTTTTTGATGGAGCACGGAGAGAGAATTGCAAATATGACCACAGAAGTCATTGGCATGCCAGAGGCCTGGACGTGCTTTCACTTTTAGAAAAGAATGGTGCGTGTTTATACTCTCATATTAAACCTAGAGACCAGGCCTCTCCTTGCCAGCCTGAATTCACAAAACATTCCTGAGATTCAAGAGTGAATTAACATCCTAATGTTCTGGCAGTTGCCAGAAAGTAAATTCATGTTTACCTGGATAATCAGAGGAAGACATCACTACTCACTATGTCCATACATATCCATTAAGGTTAGCAATTTAACTGCATGATATTTTTCTTCTTCTTCAAATACAGTGACAATGATTCAGCAGACTGTTTAACTCAGGACAACTTGTCTTCAAAAGTCACATGGATTTATCACGTATGAAACATCACACCATGAGGTATTACAGTTTGTAGCACGGCTGAATGATAAATACAACTTGCTAAACAATGGGGGTAAAATTAAAAAATTATATTAAGGAAAAAGCCCTCAAGAAATGAAGCAGTTGCATTGAGAGAGCAAATACATCGCAGCCTGATCATCAACTGCATAGTGAGGGAGAACGTGGCTAAAGCCCTTCAATACAAGTTCATCTCTTATTGCCCTCACACTAAACTGCTGCTCCCACTGACTTCTTCACTTATTCTGCTGCTCGTGCTGCTTCTCTAGTGAAGCTCATGCATCCAAAGCAGCCTCAGGAAGAAGTCTAATCATGGTCTGCTCCAGTGCTTTCAGCAGAAAATCCTCCAGCCACATTCAGGGCCGCAGCCTGCAGCTTCACTGCTGGAGCAATCCTCAGACCACAGCACTGATCAATCATTTTACATTGTCCTTTATGGTAAAGGGACAGCAAAGTCCTCTTCCAGCAGTTTCTCCTCCTCCTCCTCTATCTGTCACCTACTCACCGCACTCCAGCAGTTGCTATTGCAGCAAATTGTATTCAGCCTATTTTCTTTTTCCCTGAAGTCTCTCTCATATCTCACTGACCAACAGCAGCATCATGGTACTGTGCCCATCCATGATCAAATCTGACATTCCTGAAAAGGTATAAGCAGCACTTTGTTCTTGTCTACAGGAAGTTCTCAAGAATCACAATAAAAATACAGGCTGACTCAGAAGACACGAGTGGCTTTTTTTGTGACAGGAAAAATATCTACCAATGTATAAGATATATATGCACATTGTACTTTCCCATCCCTGTTTCTCTTCAGTTCCACAGTGCTGGATTTTTTTGTCATAGTTTCTGCTTTGCAGACTTGCGGAAGTACAAATCAATTAGTTCCTTCCCATACTTGGATGGCCCATTATGTTGATCAGATCCTGACTGCATGTGGCATGTCAGAGAAAAGGATGGATTGGAAAAAAACACAGTTTCTCTTACTTTTTAATGGTACGTTTTATTGGTACTTTTTTAGGGCAAAGCTGAACACAGTGAGATGCAACAACTCCTCCAGAAGTTCCACAGTTTCTAGTTTCATGGTGTTGTTCAGTGTATTGTCCATGCAAAATCCCCCATGTCTTGTAGCTAACCAGCATTTGCGTAGAGAGTCTCTGGATAAAGCTCTGTGGCCTGTGATAGGAAGGAGATCAGCCCAGCCAGCCCTTCTGGGTTTAATCCATGAAATTACTGCCTTCAGTCAAGGTTTCATTTTAACAAGATTATTTGAACAATTTCCATGGACCAAGTTCTTCTTTTCAAACATTTTTACAAAAGCACCATTCCGTGACCTCTCCAATGCAGACAATGCCACACTAAAATTTACTGGAGAACATTTGTTGGGAATTAAAGGGCAATTTTTAACTTTATAAATTAAACATCTGTATTTTTACATTAACAAACTAGCATGTTAAATCCAAGATTTTATGTGGAATTTTTATTTCCAGTTAATAAAAAATCAGGAGCTAATTTATTTATTTTAAACTAAAATGTCCTGTAGTTACCATTACCTGGTTTGGTGGGATCCCCATAATCCCAAATGCAAAGCCTCAAATCCCCCAAAAATTAAGCTTATGTTAGAAGGATCAGTGACAAACCTAAACGTTTGGATAAAAGAGGCATGAATATCTGTGGCAACAAAGACTTGTAGTGGCAAAGACTAGTCACAAAGTGACTAGATTTGACAACAAGTCAAATCTATAAGTTTGTAAAAAGTTGTAGTATCTGTAACACTTTTGCCAGCTTTATATTTCTGCATGATTTGATGACTGGATATCTGTTTTGAAATCCTTGGAATAAAAAAAAGTGCTCTAAAGTATTCTGTAGCGCTATAGCAAAGCTCAGCTCCTCAGAAATACAGCAGCTGCTGTATTTTCTGGAATAAACATACAAACCATTTTAAGGATTTGACCCTTGATTCCTTCATCACAGGACTTCTAAGGACCTCAGGGAAGTCTCATAGTATGAGGAACACACAATGGGCTGTGATTCCACAGTCTTGAGCTATCCAGGCTGCTTTTCACTCACATAAAGCAAAGCAGCCTCCTCACAGCTGTGCTGTTTCATATACCTGAAAGACAATTCTAAAAATTATCATGGTCTTACTAGGGAATTTGGATATGCAGTCGTTATTAAATTGCCATAAAGTTCCATATTACCGATTCTGTCATTACTGAACAGCTTCAAGACACATAGTATCTTTGTGCTGCATCTCTTTTCTCGCTTTAAAAAAACAAGAGCATATGAATGACAGTAAAAACGAAGCCAAGCGTACTGTTGAGAAACTTGGTATTCTCTTATTTCTAGGAGAGTTATAGTGTAATTCTAAACTGCAGCATTCAGCATGCCTCCTGAGCTTCCTCGCTGAAATATAGCAATGGAAATTTTACAGCATCTGTGTTGCTTTTGGAAGCCATCACCTCACATCTGCTGTCTCTGTAGTGTAGAGTTAAAGTTCAGCGTAAAAAGGTACTTTGTAACAAGCAATAGGAATCCTGACAGAGCAGTAATTTACAGACTCGCTCTGCTCTCCTGACTAGACTCCCTCAGTTTTACATTCTGTAGATTTTTTAAATAAGGTACGCTTCGAACAGCCACCAGCAAAAGAGTCACTTCTTAAAAAAATGAAGCAACGCGTCCAGGACTGGAGACTTTTTGAACCTCTGTCACTCACTGAGACCTCTGTCAGACCGCTTCCTCACTGGGCATTGCTCGATCTCCTAACTCTTTTCGGTACGGCGTTAAGTAAATAAGCACTAAAATAACCATTTGCTACTTTTGGAAAAGTTGGGGTGCTGATCAGAAACAGCACTCTGAGTGTAATAGGGGGGCCGATTCCGAAGTGGAGGAGCGCGGCCACGGCCCCCGAGCGCTTCCCTATGCCGCCCGAGCTCGGGTGGGCGTCAAGTCGGGAGCGGCGCTTTGGAAATCTCCGCCGGCATCACACCGCGGACACAGCGTTTATTGCCCTATTATCGCCCATTTCCTCCTAACGAGGTAATCCTCGCTTTCGCTCCAGAGCGGGCGAGAGCAGCCTGCTGGCTCAGCCAACAAACTCGGGATTGTTTCTTGTTTGGCCTTACGCATCCCATTTCCTCCCGGTGCCCCGCACCGCTCCCCCCCCCGCCCCGCCACGGGGCGGACTCCCTCCCCCCGGTCCCGCTTCTCGCGGCGGATCACACAATCCCTGCCGTTCCCGCGGTTCCCTCCCGGCGGCCGCAGCGGGAGCGCCCGCGTCAATGAACAAACAAACGCCCCGTCCCGGAGCGCGACAACCCCCCGGGACGGCCCCGCCGCGCCCGGCCCGCGCCCGCCGCCGCCGCGCCCCTTAAGGTGGTCTGGCCACGGCTGGGCCGCCGGAACTCCCGCCCGGCCCCTTCCCCGCGGCGGGCGGGGGAAAGCGGCGAAGTCCCCCCGGGGCCGCCGCACGGCCCCCGGGAGCGCAGGGTGGCGGGGCGGCAGCGCCTGAGCAGGCACCGAGGCGCGGACGGTTGCGCCGCCGGGATGGCGGGTCACGCCGCTGTGGGCGGCTGCAGGCGGCTCCTGGGCGAGTCATCGCCGCGGCGCCGGGCTGGCGCGGGAGCCGCGACCGGGCCAGAATGGGCCTCCGGGGGCTCCCCCTGGGCTGCGGGGCACTCTCCGGGTGTGGGCCCCGAGTGCGCCCCCCGCAGCCCGGCCAGGCTGTGCCCGCATCCCGCCCCGGCGGGAGCGTCCACCTGCCGGGGCTGCTCCGCGCATCCCACGGGCAGCTCCCGGCGCCGGCCCGTGGGCGCACACGGAGTGTCTGAGCCCATCCCGCTCGAGGAGCTGCCTCGCCCGGCGAGCGGCCCCTGGCCCACAGCTCCCGCTGTCCGTGTCACCGCTCGCTTGCTGCCCCGCGATACGCAGGGCAGGAGCACCCAGCGCTGCGTTCGTACTGCAATCTGTGTGCCCGTCTCCGCAGAGATGCTCCCGGGCTCGGGGAGCGGGGGCAGGCACGGGCTGAGGCGCCGCCGGGTCCCCCTGGCCCCGTCTCGCTCCCACCTCCGCCACCAACACGTGCGACGGGCGGTGCAAAGGCATCCTGAGCCCCGGGGGGGGCAGGACAGCCGGGATGGGACAGCGCTGGCACGGGCGGCGAACTCCCGCGGGTACCAGCGATATGACAGAACACCTCTCCCGAAGGAGCCCCGAGAGCCGCTTAAACTGCTGCACAGTGACTGAGACTGGGGGGAATCCTTACAAGGGAGCAGAAATCCCCTACTGCAGCCCGGGCTGGTGCCTGGCCGCCGCAGCCCACACAACGCGGTGCGGGCTCGCGTATCCCCGCACAGATCTGCGCCCGGACCGCGCCGAACAACAGCCCCCGCCACGTCCCCCCGCTGCCGAGGCCATGGGGCAGCACCCACCACAGCCGCTGTCCGGTGCCCGCTCCACCTTAAGGAGCGCTGGGCCCCGCCCCCTGCCGCCCGCCCGAGCGCGGCTGATTGGCGGCCGGGGCGCTGGGGGCGGGGCCAGGCTGCTCTCGCTATAAATATTCATGAAGCGCGGCGGCCGAAGCGGCGCTGCCGGGGCCGGAGAGCGAGAACTTGCGGAGGAGTCGCCGTGCTCGACCCGCGGCTCAGGTGGCGCGACCGCGGCCGGGGCTGCGGCAGCCGGAGGAGGCGCAGAGCGAGCACCGCCCGACTGGCGCTTGCCCGTGGAGCCGAGCGCTCCGGCGAGCGGTACGAGGAGCCGCTCCGGCCGCCCCGGCCCCGCCGCTGCCCGCCCGCTCGGGGCGGTGGGAGCCCGGCGCCGCGGGGCACACCGCCCGCTCCCCGGGACGCCTCAGCCGTCTCCGCCGCGCCGGGGCTGAGGGCGAAACTTCTGCACCACCGCCACTGCCCCGTGCCCGGCCGGCGCTGGAGCAGCGGCGAGAGGAGTGGCGGCACCCCCTGCGCACCCGGCCCCGCGAGGAGCGATGCGGCGGCGGCTGAGGGGCCTCCTGTGAGCGAATCCCCTTCCTCCGGCGCCGAGCGGGGGATCGCCGGCGGCTCCCGCTCACCGGGTGCCCGCGGGGCCGCCTCCCTACTGGGCGACGGAGCCCCGCGGGGGCTGCGAGACCTCTTCACCTGCGAGCGGCACGGAGGGGGCCGCCCTGCGCCCCCCAGAGGGGTAGCCGGGGCCGGGGGGTGCTGTGGCGCCGCGCTCCCCGCGGCTGCTGAGCGGGACGGGAGAGGAGCCGGGGCCGCCGCCCCCGCGCCGCCGAGCATGGAGTGGAGTTACCTGTTGGAAATCACCTCGCTGCTCGCCGCCTTGTCCCTGCTGCAGCGCGCCGGCTGCGCCGCCGCCTCGGCCGCCGCCGCCGCGTCCTCCTCCTCGGCTAAGGAGCTGTCGTGCCAGGAGATCACCGTACCCCTCTGCAAGGGCATCGGCTACAACTACACCTACATGCCCAACCAGTTCAACCACGACACGCAGGACGAGGCCGGGCTGGAAGTGCACCAGTTCTGGCCGCTGGTGGAGATCCAGTGCTCCAGTGACCTGCGCTTCTTCCTCTGCAGCATGTACACCCCCATCTGCCTGGAGGACTACAAGAAGCCGCTGCCGCCCTGCCGCAGCGTCTGCGAGCGGGCCAAGGCCGGCTGCGCCCCGCTCATGCGCCAGTACGGCTTCGCGTGGCCCGACAGGATGCGCTGCGACCGCCTCCCCGAGCAGGGCAGCCCGGACACGCTCTGCATGGACTACAACCGCACGGACCTCACCACGGCCGCCCCGCCGCCCGCCAAGCCCCCGCTCCGTGGCGCCAAACCCGGCAGCCCCGCCAAGGCGCCCCCCGCCGCCGCCGCCCCGCCGGCCGAGGCCCCGCGCAAGCCGCGGCCGCCGCCGCCCTGCGAGCCGGGCTGCCAGTGCCGGGCGCCCATGGTGTCGGTGTCCAGCGAGCGGCACCCGCTCTACAACCGCGTCAAGACGGGGCAGATCGCCAACTGCGCCCTACCCTGCCACAACCCCTATTTCAGCCCCGACGAGCGCGCCTTCACCGCCTTCTGGATCGGGCTCTGGTCCGTGCTCTGCTTCCTCTCCACCTTCGCCACCGTCTCCACCTTCCTCATCGACATGGAGCGCTTCAAGTACCCCGAGCGCCCCATCATCTTCCTGGCCGCCTGCTACCTCTTCGTCTCGTTGGGCTACCTGGTGCGGCTGGTGGCGGGGCACGAGAAGGTGGCGTGCAGCGGCGGGGCGGGCGCGGGCGGCGCGGGGGCCGGGGCTGCGGGGGCCGGCGGCGGCGCGGCGGCGGGGGCGGCGGCGGCGGGGGGGCGCGGCGCGGCGGGCGGCGCGGCCGAGCTGCAGCCCGAGCTGGCGGTGGCCGAGCACGTGCGGTACGAGAGCACTGGCCCGGCGCTGTGCACCGTGGTCTTCCTGCTCGTCTACTTCTTCGGCATGGCCAGCTCCATCTGGTGGGTCATCCTCTCCCTCACCTGGTTCCTGGCCGCCGGCATGAAGTGGGGCAACGAGGCCATCGCTGGCTACGCGCAGTATTTCCACCTGGCCGCCTGGCTGCTCCCCAGTGTCAAGTCCATCGCTGTGCTGGCGCTCAGTTCTGTGGACGGGGACCCCGTGGCTGGCATCTGCTACGTGGGCAACCAGAGCCTGGAGAACTTACGGGGCTTCGTGCTGGCACCGCTGCTCATCTACTTGGCCATTGGCTCCATGTTCCTGCTCGCTGGCTTCGTCTCGCTGTTCCGCATCCGCAGTGTCATCAAACAGCAGGGTGGCCCCACCAAGACCCACAAGCTGGAGAAACTGATGATACGCCTGGGACTCTTCACCGTGCTCTACACTGTGCCAGCTGCCAGCGTGGTCGCCTGCCTCTTCTACGAGCAGCACAACCGGCCACGCTGGGAGGCCACGCACAACTGCCCCTGCCTGCGTGACCAGCAGCCTGACCAGGCCCGCCGCCCTGACTATGCTGTCTTCATGCTCAAGTACTTCATGTGCCTCGTGGTGGGCATCACCTCCGGTGTCTGGGTCTGGTCTGGCAAGACCCTTGAGTCCTGGAGGGCCCTCTGCACTCGCTGTTGCTGGGCCAGCAAAGGTGCTGCCGTGGCTGGGAGCGCAGGGGCAGGAACAGGTGGGCAGGCAGCAATCACTGCAGCAGGAGGACTTGGGGCTGGAGGTGGTGGCTCACTCTACAGTGATGTTAGTACTGGCCTGACATGGAGATCAGGCACTGCCAGCTCTGTCTCCTATCCCAAGCAGATGCCCCTGTCTCAAGTATGAGGAGGAGGAAAGAGGCCAAAGGTTAGGGAATGAGGGACACTGGCCTGCCTAAAATGCCCCCTCACTGTTTGGTGCCATTAATGAACCCCTAATGGTCCTTATTAGCCACAGCTTGTATAGAACAATGCAGCTGGCAGAGGCCCCAGGCTCCAGCCCCCTCCTCCTTCCCCTCCATTCATATGCAGGGAGCATGTACTTCAAGGAGCCAGCTTATTATTTTGCTGGCAGAGGAGGGTAGAGGCTCACCCCTGTCTTACAGAGGGCAAGGCACAGCGGCTTCTGAGTCACTCTGGACTAACAGCAGCTCTTTACTCAAGGGAGGGAAGGTCTTCCTCCCCCCCCATACCGAGGTGGAAGTCTGCTGGGACTGCAGGTTTTTGGGATGTTGATGACCAGGCAAATGCCTTATACTATAGACTGAAACAAAACATGTCTTAATTATACACCCCAGCTAAATACGGGTTTCCTACATTAAAGGATGTATTTATATAATTATTTGTTACCTTGTACAGATGTGTAAAATATGTATATATCCAAAGCTATACAGTCTGTAAATTTTTTTGTAAAAATGTTTAGAGGCTACCCCTGTAAGAGCAAATATGAGTATTCTATTTTGTCAATAAAATGACTTTTGATAAATGATTTTTTCAAGCTTTTCCCCTACTCCTGCCCTGGTTATTCTAACTGCTATATCTTTAGGTAGTTGTGTAAACTACAAGCTACATTCATGCTCCAGTCATTGCCTGTTAAAATGTTGAGATATGTAGACACAAGAAAACAAGTCATTCAACAAGTTGTTCTGAAAAAGTGTTTGCCAAAACGGGGAGGTGCCTTGCCATAGTTCTCTGCTTTTTGGAAGATGACAGTATCTTTAAACTGAGCCTTTACAAAAGAGTCATCTCAGATGGCATGTTAAGTATCCTTTTAAAATGGGTGTTATTTTAGGAATGTGCACACAGGCCTCTTGTATCTGTTGTCTGCACTTCTGTAAGCACCTGCCTTTCCTGGGATGCATACTGAAGTGTAAAAGGTTAATGTTTTAAATTCATAGATCATGTGCTACGGTGCAACAGCAAGTTGAGATTTGTTAGATCAATCTCTTCTTAACAGATTAAACTAACATCTTAACTTTTGTATATCAAATATGGTCCTTTTTAAAGAGAAAAGGTATTGTTCTTCTGTCAGGACTAAGCTAATTTATTTGAGCAGAAGGCTGTTGAATTAACAGAAGAATGCTTTGGCAATTGTTGAACTTTTTACCTGTCTGCCCAGTGGCTCAGAACATCATTCCTTTAAGAGGAGCTAAATGAATAGGGTTAATCTGTAGGGAACTTGGTTTCTTTTGAGTTTGGGAAAACTTTGATCTTTTCTCTTCACCAAACGTGATGTATAGTCTGAAGTTTCTTTCCCTGCTGCCTGGTTCCTCTTGTTGCAGACCAATTGGCCACCATGGAGCCTTAAAGTTCTTCAATTAAAGGGACATGGGACTTTTTTTTTTTTTTATTTTAAGAGGAAGACTTGTAACAGTTAGTGAACACCAGAGGGAAAAGGGAGAACAGCCTTTTAAACAGCTTTTCCCTGCATTGTTAGCCAGACTGCAGGCAGCAAGGCATGGCTTGGAGCATTATAGAAAAGAGCTATGAATGCCCTACAGGTGGTCTGCTCACATAATCTCCCCAATTTAAAACATTTTCCTTTACAGGACAATTGCATTACAAAACTCCCTTCTCTTTTACTCCTAATTGAACCAAAGAACTACTACAAGATTTTCTTTAAAAACTGTCTAAAAAAAATTTAAAATCTATTAAGTACCTTCTAATCTGTTTTCCAAAATGCGAGTACTCACAATACCAGGAGTAAAAACTACATTAGACACTATTCCAGATATTTTTATGTCTTCTGCTTATATTCTGTCAAATTAACAATCATTTAAAAGCAATTGGTTAGGTTGTGTGCTAGCAGTGAAAAGATAGCCCCAGGTCCCTTATTAGCCTGCCAATCATGATAAGAGATGGGCAGCTACCCGACTAATGACACAGATATCAGTCATGATTTGTGGGAAAAACCTTGTTTCATTGAGCACTGACTTGATTGTTGGGTGTCCTTTTCAAAGATCTCCTAATAGACTTCATTTCTACCAAGTTACCAGGATCATGAAAAGGAGGAATTTAAAATGCTCCTAACTACTTGGAGAGAAAAATAGTTTCAACTTCTCAAATGCAAAGGAAGTTCCACTGGAACTTATGCATGGTCCCTATTTATACACCATTTGACCAGGATCAGAATATTGATATACCTGTAAATTGAAAAGGTCCTAGTATTTTTCTGTAGTGCTGGAAACTTTTTTTTTTTTCCCCACAATTGTTGAAACATTTAGATCAACGTGGCACTTTCCCCTGCTGTCAGCAGGGCTGAGGTAGAGGTCTTCCTGCTGAGGAAGCTCCACATATAGAAGCACAGTCAGTTCTGTGTCTGAGTTCCTTCCCCTCCAGCAGGTTCTAGCAAGGAAGACAGAGGGGAGCTCCAGCCACAACTCTTCTCTGAGAATTTGTTTAGATAAGTCTCTTGCAGACTGCTGGTACAGGTTGCTAGTACTGAGATAAAAGCATTTCTAGTAAAAGAAAGGATGTAGCCCTGTGGCTTAACCTACTCTGGAATGAGCCAAGAGGTGCTACAGGTGAACTTAGGCAGGAAAGGAGTCTCAGAGCTAGTCAAGTTACCAAGATAACTGCTTTGGAAATGACTGAGAAATAATGCAAAGGCTAAACAAATAAAAATGAGGCAAAATTCAAATCACTAGAAACACAAACATAGGGAAATGGTGCTAAAGAAGTTAACTAACGAGTGCAGATTTTTGTGATTCAGCATAAAACTTGCATATAAGGAAAAACATAAGCAAAAACACCAACAGCAAGTCATTTAGGTATTAAAGAAATAAAAATCCACAACTACAAAGAACTTCACATTGTTAGGATGTCTTTTATCAGACTTTAAAGATAAATTTTATATAAAGAACCAAAAAATACTGTAGTATAGTTGGTAGGAATTACTTGTTAGCTTTCAAGATCTGATGATAAACTGCGTTCTCCCTTAAATTTGCCAGAAAGCTATTGAAAACAGCTCCAGCAGACCCATGGCCCAAGCCCTTGCCTGCAGAGCAGGAGTACCCTCAGCATCCCTGCTGGCACAGACTCATCATCCCTGCTCATGGGCAGGGACAGCACCCACGCACACCAGCTCCAGGGAGCTAAGGGAAAGCTTCACTGTCGCTGATGTGGCCCATAGCACAACTTGTACAGCAACATTTGAAGAGCTGCACAGATGGCAACCAAGAGCCTCCCACAGCTCACAGAAAGGCCTGACTAACTGCTCTGTTCAGGCGAGTGACCAACCCAGCAGAGGAACATGGTTTGGGATTTTTTTTCTTCCCTAATAAGCAGCATATCTCTAAAGTGTTATTTTTCTTTCCAGGACCCCTCCTTGCTTTATGTGTTCCTGCTTCTAAAGACAATGCTACGGATTATTCTCCTCCTCCTGCTCTAATGACTAAATAATCCTGCAGCCTCCTAGAGAGCTGGCCTAGCTTCTGATGGGCACTTTAAAGGAAGGCAGAGCAGTGCTGGAGAGCCTCAGCAGGGACATCACACGTTCCCTGGGCCCTTCTGCTAAGTCCTTGGGGGCTATCTGGAAGTGTCCTGCAATGTACTCCAAAGTTTTCCTTGTGCAGGAGAAGCTTCCCTGGAGCTCTGATAATCAATCATGGAAGGGAGGGGACGGGACTTCAGACAAGGAGGAATTAGGTAATTCTCATACATTATAATATGAATGTGACCAGGCTTTCTGGGAAGGCTATGAAGGCTAAGACTGGTGCACAAGGAGTATTTTTTTGTTCCTTCTTATGTAGTATTGGAAAATCAAAGTGTTGGGATGGTCATCCATTAAACAGTTCTTCAAATGTGCTTGAGTAGTCCTAAAAAGTGTCCCAGGAGGGGTAGGAAAGCTGGAGGCAGCGGTGCCTCTGTGCACACACTACACACAGCTTCACTCCAGCTTTGGCTCCTGGGCTCTCTCCAGTTTTACTTGGGAGGACACCTCTCTAGGCATGAGAAGGTGGCTTGTAGAAGAAATTGTCAACAGTTTTTCATAAGAGGAAACTGGTACCAGGAGACAAGGCAGAATGCCCAAATTTAAAAAGGAATCAACTGAGAAAGTATGTAACTGAGAAAGAAATACACTGGGAGAATCCCGGGTCTACTTTGAAATATGAAAATTAATACAAGATCCCAGTGACTGTGCTCAACACATTTATGTCACAAGCACTACGTGGAGTGCAAAAGCCAAACTGAGCCTGCTCAGTAATTAAGCTTCTCAGCCGATAAAGACTGAATTTTATATGGGATAGACAAGCCACCTAATATGGTGAAAAAGCAAACTGGTGATAATGAACGCTGAAAAGTGACAAAAGATGCTCCTAGAGTGAAGGCTCTCCTACAGCTGAGCTCATGCTGGAGGAAAGCTCGCTTGGGCCAGTCAAACCAGCTTCTGGAATCGCAACCTGTTTCCAAAGTGCCTGTTCCAACCTGCCTGTAGCATGCCCTGCTCCTGCACCCCATTCCAGAGCCACATGGCTCATGTTTCTCTAGACGCACACTTCTACTCCCACACACCGTGGTCAACACAGCTGCTGGCCTAATTGGGAAGCAAGTAAGGAACAACCTCACTCCATTGCCTATCCTGGCCATGTTCCTTCTCTTTTTGTCCTACATACCGAAACTGGATGGTGTGGAAGAGATAGCACATCTCTTCTTAAAGAGGCTTGGCAACTAAGGTCACCCTGAAAACAGTAGGATGAGACCAAGAAGAGTAAAGGGGTCTGCAAATGATGGTCCAAACATTAAACAAGGCAGGCTCCCAGCATGTGGTCATGATGAGTTCTAGGCAGCCTTTAAGAGGACGTAATTAAAAATCTTCACACAGCTCTATTGATTTAAGCTTTTATAACTGCCCATCATTACTGTAATCAGGTATATGAATTTCACTAGTTCAGCAGAAAGGATCACACATCATAAATGCTATGGCTGTATGGAAATAAGTAGTGTCTGGTATTAAAATGTGGAGCAATAATGTGAGGTGACTAAGGATAGTCAAATCACTTCAGAAACTACTACCTAAGGTCAAATGCTGAACCAAGCGTTTTGAAGGCTGAGATAACACTTTTTCACTCCTACAATTCTCTTATCAGTGCTCTTAAAACACTTTATATTCACTTGTGAATTAATAGTCAAATTTCTTCTTGTGAGATAAAAATTATGGTAATAATACCCAGGCTAACAAAATTTAAATGCAAGTCTAGAGGAAGAACCTGGATTTCCTGACTCCACTCTGTGTTTTCAGTAAAGCTCCATTTTACAGACATTTCCTCACACCTCCGCCCTCCCCACCAATTTCCCTCCAACGGTACCCCAAGGGCCGTAGTCCCACATTCCCAGAGGGTACGGCGTTTCCCAGGCACAGCACCAAATCTGTCACCGGGAGGGCCATCGCGTTAGGCTGCTCGAGACAAATCGGGGCAATGGATGCTGAGGGTCTGGAGCGAAATCGGCTTTTAAAAGAATGGAGAAAAACGACTCATTCCTCCATTC